ACAGTGCTTGGAACGATCCTTTTATGGTTCCTGCGTAAATGCAGCCAATACATCTCATTTTCTCTATGACCTGAAGTAAGCCAGAGACTAACCAACCAAAAATTACACGAAATTACTTAAGTGAAGCCCCTGGGAAAACAGGGTATTACTTGACCCTTAGCACAAATGTGCTAGAATTTAACCCATGACAAACAGGTCCACACAACAACTTCCCATAGACAATATAAACAGCAAAGGCAGATCCGATGGAAAAGAGGAAAATAAGCCTTTCTCGGAATTCCTAAGATTCAAGAGATCTGAACCTCAAAAGTGTTTCATTTTCTGGGCACGGTGGCTCACGCCAGTAATCTTAGTACTATGGGAGGCCGCAGCAGGTGGACTGCTTGAGCTCAGGAGTCTGAGACCAGCATGGGCAACGTGGTGAAACCCTGTCTCTATGAAAAATACAAAAGTCAGCCAGGCGAGGTGGCACACGCCTGTAGTCCCAGCTACTGGGGAGGATAAAGTGGGAGGACGGCTTGACCCTGGGAGGCAGAGGTTGCAGTGAGCTGAGACCACACCACTGCACTCTAGCCTGGGCAACAGAGCCAGACCCTATCTCAAAAAAAATTAATAAAAAACAAAAATAAATCAGTTGTGTATGAACGTACACACACACAAAATGACTTCAAAGTATTTTCAGTTACTTCAAAGTATGTTCAAAGATCTTACTGAAGCTCCTTGGGCCAAAAACAGAAAGGCTTCCTTGGCCTGAACCCTGTCTCTCCCTTTCCCTGACATCGTAACTCATCCTTTCACCATAGACAGTCTCCCTCCTGATTCCTTCTCCTTTGGCCTGACAGCACCCTCTAACACTCACCCACCACCCCATCTTTGAAAAACAGTATTATGTCCAAAGTGTTTTTTGTCTTTCCAAGATCTACAGTCCCTGAACCTCTCACTATGAGTGTTCTAGATCCAAATTTATCTAACTTGTTCTGTTTAAGAGGAAAACTATTATATCCATCTTACAGATGAAAAGATTAGGCCGGGCACAATGGCTTATGCCTGTAATCCCAGTGCTTTGGGAGGCCAAAGTGGGTGGATCACCTGAGGTTAGTAGTTCAAGACCAGCCTGGCCAACATGGTGAAATCCCATCTCTACTAAAAATACAAAAATTAGCCGGGCGTGGTGGCGCACACCTGTAATCCCAGCTACTTGGGAGGCTGAGGCAGGAGAATCGCTTGAACTCCGGAGGCGGGCAGAGGTTGCAGTGGGCCAAGATCATGATATTGCACTCCAGCTTGGCGACACAGCAAGACTCTGTCTCGGGAAAAAAAGACTCTTGTCTCGGGGGAAAAAAGAAGAGTAAAGTTCAGGAGAGGATTAAATAATTCCTCCAAGGTCACACAGCCAGTATAGCAGAACAACCAAGTAACTCCTGCTTCTGACTCTAGAATCCACATTCCTTTTCTTTTTCTTTGAGATGGAGTCTTGCTCTGTAGCCCAGGCTGGAGTGCAGTGGCCTGATCCCGGCTCACACCATTCTCCTGCCTCAGCCTCCACATTCTTAACCATTACACTGGAGACAGTTCTTTTCCTTTCCAACTGTTGTGTTCCCAAATAAATTTGAAAAATATTTTGCACAGCTCTGGGGGTTAAAAAGAAAAATTAGCGCTCTGATTGGAATTGGCATGTATATATACATAATTAGGAGGAAATAACACTTTCACCATAGTTGTGTCTAGCTCAAAGAGTTTATAATTAAGCTTAATTAAGCATACTGTTTCCCCTGTTATACAGGGACTTGAGGATGGTGATCAGGTCCTGTCCATACTGCACGGAGTGGTCAACACAGGTTGGTTTAATGAACAATCTCTACCCTCAACCAAGCCCCTGCTTCATTAAGTGAACCCATAATGTGGGTCTCTGTGTCAACCACACCGCCCACTCTCCAGACACTACTCTGCTCTCAAGGGTCCTGACATACAGGGTTGATTGTGGCATGACATTAACTTTACCCTCAACTTATCTTGATGTACCCCAAAGCATATAAACAATGTTTCCATTCCCTGTTGATGAATTCTGACCTGAAGTGCTATCAACAAAATGGCTTTTAGTTTCCCAGAGGAAGACAGCCAACAGTAAAAACGCTGTACAGATTGCTTGGTTCTAGTTGCTACATTCCCAAGTTGATGTATTATTTCCAATCTTAATTGAACAGATCCTCCCCAAATCCCTTCAGTCCCAGTTCTCCACACCTCACCTATTGCGGACAAAATGAAGCTCAAGCTTACCCATGTCTCAACTTCATACCCAAAACTTGGAATCAGACATGCTTCTGTATTGGCTATCTGTACATTTATCACAGCCACCCGCATAGTTAGGATACAATGAAATGGCCTGGTGAAAAACACAAGCCTAACTTACTTTTTGTATCACGACACAATGTTCAATTAAATGACTTAAGAGTCAAACGCTCAGAAAACCACCGTGAAAACAAGCCCGGGGATGAAGTTGCTTAAATAACAAAATGAAAGTGGGCATCTTTAATATGGGAAGAGGCAGGTAAGGAATACTCTGAGCCCATAAAATAGAAGGCAGACTAGTACAGCAGGAAATCACGGACTAGGGGTCAGAAACCTGATTTTCAGCCCTACCTACATCACCTGCCTCCCTAACATCTTGGGAAAATCACTATTTCCTTGGATATAAAAATATTTATCTCAACACTTTCACTGGTCTGTAAACTGTCCGCTGCCCTTTCCTCTTTAACTGTCATAAAAAAGCAATCAATACATGGCTGGTTGAAGCAGTTTACAAAATCTTAGCACTTTGGGAGGCCAAGGCTGACATACCACTTGAGACCGGGAGTTCGAGACCAGCCTGATCAACATGGCGAAAGCCCGTCTCTACTAAAAATACAAACACTAGCTGGGCTTAGTGGCATAAGCCTGTAATCCCAGCTACTTCAGAGGCTGAGGCATAAGAACTGCTTGAACCTGGGAGGTGGAGGCTGCAGCGAGCTGAGATTGTGCCACTGCACTTCAGCCTGGGTGACAGTGAGACTGTCTCAGAAAACAAAAAGCAGTACTTCACTTATTACAAAAATTGAGTAGTTTTCCACGCCTAATCATGTTCAAAGCTAACATACTAGCTTTGTTAAGACTCCAAATTAGTAATCCAAACACCCATCATCTACTCCATTCTACTACCACGAATTATACAGGAAACTGAAGCACAGAGGTTGTTACTTAACCCAGGTCACCCAACTACCTAGGCAGTTTGGCTAAGTTGGTGTTCTTAACCACAGCATTAGGCCATCTAATGCTCACTCAGTTCCCTATGCTTATGTGAAATCCTGGTCACTCACCTGGAGATCCTATGGAGAGCTTCTCCAGGAGATTCACCTGGAGAGCTGCATCATGCCTATGAAGCCTGAAAATCCTGACTTGTCACTCCTGGTCCTACCCCTACTGACCTATAGTACTTGCTTCACATAGTACCACTATGTGACACAAATGAGATCCAAAGATGACCAGTTACTGCTATGGATCTAGCAAACGCTTGACCCAGTTAAGTATTCTTCTAGGGTAGTTATGTTTCTGCCAGAGACAATGCAGGAGGTAAAGGTCAAGGGAGACATCTGTGCAAAAGCCAGTAATGGGCAAAAAAAAAAAGTTATAGAAGATAGGGGTCAGTCCAAGTGAAACAGGTTTTTACTTTATCCTAAAGATGAAGTAAATCCACATTCTTACCGAATTAAATTTGCATCCTTAAAGGATTACTGACTCTGGAATAGACAGAAGACATACCAATTAGGAGGACTGAGAAGTCCATACCACAGATGGTTGAGAAGTTAGACTAAATTGGCAGTGAATTAAGTGCATAAAAGTGTCAAAGAAAGACCTAAAATAACTCGAATTCCTCCAAGGCAATTCACTTTGTTACTACAACCATCTGTCAATCTGAAATCAATCCTACAAATCCTTATGTGCAAACTAAAAACTGGAGAATTGCAGACATTTGCAACATTTAATGTGAAATTAGTTTCATACTGTTTCCTGAAGATGCTGATACAGTGTAGGCCAAATGAAACATCATAGAAGAGGCAGTATATGTATATCCTTCAGTATATCTTTTACCTTCAGAAATTTTTTTGGGGGGGACAGAGTGTTGTCCAGGCTAAAGTGCAGTGACACAATCCTGGCTCACTGCAACCTCCCCCTCCTAGGTTCAAGTGATTCTTGTGCCTGAGCCTCCCAAGTAGCTGGGATTACAGGCATGTGCCACCATACCAAGCTATTTTTTATAGCTTTCGTCAAGATGGGTTTTCGCTATGTTGTCCACACTGGTCTCAATCTCCTGGCCTCAAGTAATCCACCTGCCTCAGTCACGCATAGTGCTGGGATTTCAGGCATGAGTCACCGCACCCAGCCTAGACAAATTTTATAAAAATACTGACTGTAAGGCTGGGCTTGGTGGCTCACGCCTGTAATCCCAGCACTCTGGGAGGCCGAGGCAGATGGATCACTTGAGGTCAGTTCAAGACCAGCCTGGCCAATGTGGCGAATACCTCATCTCTACTCAAAATACAAAAATTAGCCGGGCATGGTGGTGCGTGAGACTATAATCCCAGCTACTCAGGAGGCTGAGGCAGGAGAATCGCTTGAACCTAGGAGGTGGAGGTTGCAGTGGGCCAAGATCAGTACACTGCACTCCAGCCTGGGTGACAAAGACCCGCCTAGAAAACAAACAAAAAAATATTAACTGTAATTTAAAAACTAAAGTTCACAGTTGGCACGAATGTATCTCAAAGTCAAACTGGCAAGAGCAGACTTATAAAAAGCTAATACACATATCTAACTTGAAGACTGATATTCTTATGCTGCATTTTACCATTTGACTAATAAAAAGGAGACCGAATTACAATATTCCATCTTGGCATGCTTTTCCAACACAACAGTATTTACACAATGCAAACATCAGAATGTCTAATAAAGTTAACAAGCCAAGGCAATTTTGTTACATAAATTAACCCATTTATTATAGGCCAGTGATGTCTCAAAGAGTAGAAGAGCGTCTACTGGTCTTTCAACTCCTTCAGTCTTCTGATGGCGGACTTTACCGTGACAGCGGAAGTGGTACTGGAAAGAAAGATTCAGTTTCCAACATAATTAAGCATGTTAACATAGAAAATGGCAAATAAGTAAATCTGCCTCGTTTTTGTGATGAAAGTCTCTTCCCAAATTTTCCCATAAAGAATCATATTGAGATAGACTGCTCTACCAATACTTTGCTGCAGTCGATCCAAACATCTAACCAACATTAGATTACTCCCCCGAATGAGTGGCTTCTAAACTACATGATGGCATCCTTTAAGAGCCATGCCTTCAGGATCTTGCAGAATTAGACATGCAATCACATGCACCTGATTTCTCAACCAGTTTTTTTTTTTTAGGAACTCAGTTGTGGACAAGCAAGCTTTAACTCCCCCTACCCCACCCCGCGAAACAGAAATGGTTCTAAGAGGCTGACCCAAACTTATTAAAAGGGAATGGACAGATAACAAGAAATGAATAAATTACAAGATGGTACAGTAAGAACAATGAATAAGGAAATAGAGTGGACACTAAAGTGCCTTTGGGAAAGACAGCTACTGAAATGACTACAAAAGTTTTACCACAAAATTCAGGAACTATACCTGAAAATCACCATCCTATATGGTGAGTATATAAATGCGAGTTAACTTTCCTATCAGAACCAAGAAAGCACTCTAGTTCCCATTTTCCATTCTGCCCTAATAAAAACCCCCACAAGGGGGGTGTGTGTGTGTGTATATATATATGTATTTCAACATTTTCCACTTCGGTTTAAGTTTAAATTGACTGAAACTTAAAATCCAATTATTTAATTACACTAGCCATATATGTGTTTAGTGTATTGGACAACACAGGTCTGGACACCGGTTTGTAGTGTAGTGTTTGTAGTATCGCCCTGTCAGGTGATACTGAGTTGCAGATTCACAAACCTGCAGCAGTCTAACAGTGTTCAGAAAGACGAAATTGCGGTGGTCCTGATGGCCTCAAGTTTCCAAATACAGTTTTGAACTAACTGACCTCTTCACCTATTTTTGTCAAAACTTGCAATGCACATCAACGTTCAGTAGATTCAGCCCCACTAACGGACCTGCACAGTATCATGACAATGTTCACAACTATGTGCCCAGTGACCATCTAATTCTAAAGCAGTCTGTGAAATAGATTTCTGACTTCTATTTTGGTAGTTTTGTGTTTACTCTTTCAATACTGAAAATAAATCACCACAAAAGAATCCTGCAAATACAAGGGCATCCTTATTCTCTCAGTCCTGAGAAAGTGTTAACACTAGTCCATCCAGCAACAACCTGGAATGTGGCCCTATGTGGCCCACACACTTCGAAATACAAGGAAACAGACTCACTTGTATGTCCAGGCACCGCCGGCCACTGTCTTCATGCAGGAACCACAGTGCCAGATCCCCACAGCTCGTCTCTTCATCTTGGTCTATAAAAGAGAACCAATTTTCACTATGAACCAAGTATTCTATCTTACAAGCATCCAGAAGTCTAAATTTGGATTCACCTTATTATCAAGGATGTGAAAGCCTTCCTTCCTCCCTCAAAAACAAAAACAAGGATTGCTGTAATGCAGTATTTTGCACATAAACGTTCAAACCTTTATCAAACAAAAATCCCTCGCAGAACAAGTAGAATGGTATTAGATGGACAGACTAGATATCTTGGGGGTTGGTACAGAAACATCAGTAGACAAAACTGATGGAATCATTTCCCACAAAGCAGGTTTGGCTTAGGCTGGGGGCGCTCTGTCAAATGATTATTTTACCCATTAACTTTTAAGTGGTTTTCTTTAAATGAAAAACGTTTCACAAAATCTAAAGTTACCATCAACACTTTTATCTTAAAACTCATGATCAACGAACGGCACGAGTAATTCTAACTGCTCACGAGCACACGGCTTATAAAATACCTTGAAGTCAGACCTCACTTGGGTAAGAAACCTGCCCTCCCTCTCCCCTCACCAGATTTTGCCTTACTTACTTTGCCACAGAAAGAGCAAGTGTACTTGGCGTGCTGGCTGATTTCAATTTTCTTCACCATTTTCCGGAGGGAGGCCCCATAGCGAGTTCCGTATTTACCGACGATCCCGACTTTCTTGGTACGTTTGGCCTGTTTAGAGTGAAGGGAGAAACCAGTGATAGTTAGACCTGGAACCCAGGCAGGCCCCAGAGCCTCCACACACCGTTCCTCCACCTCACTGACGGGTGACCGACATGTGAATTACATGTGACCTAGTTTTCCCTAAATTCAACCCAACAAAACTAGCGCCCAGGGCTCGTCGCGCGCTCCGAACGCCCGGCGTTAACCCGGCCGGAGCGCGCCAGGACCAGCCAAGGCGCCCCGCTCCTCCGCCGTGGGGCAGCGTCCGACAGTGGTGTCTCCTGCGAAGGCATGGAGACAGGAGAGAACACGGGGCAAGGCAGGTGAGGAGACGGGTACGGGAGAAGAAAACAAGGACAGATGCAGGCAGATAGAGACTTAGGCCGCACAGAGAACCGCACTCACCATGTCGTCGCGAACTAGGTCCGAGCCCAGAGAGGAAGAAATGCGGTGCGCAGGCGCGGTATTAGGCGGACGAGCGGAAGTGGCTGGTGGAGGCCTAGCTAGGAACTGAGCTCTATGGTTCCGGCGTTTTCCGGCGACCTCCTGAGAAATGTTTGCAATTGTAAGGTGTCTCTCTCACCCAGGTTTACCCGCATTCGCAAACTATGGCGACAAACAACCACAGCAGAAGCATGTCCAGATTCTTTCAGATATATTACAAAATCCTGCAAAGGTACGAGCTCCTCCATTGGATGCACAGCGCTTGGCTTGGAGAAGTGCATAAATCTTACATCTGTGGGGCCGGGCGCAGTGGCTCACGCCTTAATTCTAACACTTTGGGAGGCGGGGCGGGTCAGGAGTTCGAGACCAGCCTGGTCAGCAGGCTGAAACCCCGTCTCTATTCCAAATCTCATTTCTTTGCCTGCTGCATTATACTCTCTAAAAGTGGCTGACTCTGCAGGATGCTAGCGACAGTAGTGACTAAAATCCAAAGTTCCACTCCCAGAACAAGTTGCAGGCCAGCAGCAAACAATCGTATAGCCACATTAAGAAGTTAGATAGTTCAAACTGATCAGAGTTCTGAAGGAAAGGACGATGGTTCCGCCCGCGACTAATTCAGAAGAGCCTGGCGTTCCCTGAGGAAAGTCTGAAATTGGAAGGCTGGGGAAAAGTTAACAGTCACCTTGGAGTTTTGTGTTCCAGCTGCTCCGTCTCAGTGCGGATGGCCCGCCTTCCACTTCATTTCAGAACCCACTCCCATGGCCCCACACTAGGCTGTTAGGCAGCTTCCTGGTCCAGGCCTGAACCCTTAAACTCTAACATCTTACCCTCTACCCACCATCAATTCTCTGTCCCTCCAGGTCTCTCAAAGGGGTCAGCAGGGAAGAACTGGATTTCTAGTTGAGGCCCGGGGTGGGGAGGGTGTGTTCTGGAACTAGACACATGATTTCCTTTCTTTATGTAGAACACACACACTAGGAAGTTTGGCTGCCTTTTTTCAGGGGATGGCTAATCCAGAGGATAAGAAGCTCAGAAAAATACTGGAATAAGACTGTAAGAGAGAATCCGTGATTTGAGGACCAAGAAAGACCATGAGAGCTGAAAGGCATTGTATGGCCCTGATTCCAATCAGAACTCTGCTAACAAGTAGCTTCCGTTCCCGAAGCTTAATATTAACAATATTAACTGTCTCAAATAATTTTGCACCTGTTCACTTTTCCTCACAATTATATTAAAATCAACTTGCATACCTGGGCTGAGGTGAGAAGATCACTTGAGCCTGGAAGGTTGAGGCTGCACTAAGCTGTCATTACGCCACTGCAGTCCAGCCTGGGCAACAGAGTGAGAGCCTGTCTCAAAAAATATATGTAAATCAAATCACAGCAACTTGTAGACAGCTATGCACTTCATATGGTTACAATTGTTGGAAGGTAACACATGGTAGGCACTGAGTATTTTATATGGATGTGCTCATTTAATTTTCCATTATCCTTTATGATAGGAATGATTATCTTCATTACTAAGAAAAAGAGAGGCAGTCTTATATATTGATTAGGAACTTAGAGGCTCTGGATTCAGTCTGGGTTCAAAACAACTATTTACCAGCTGTGGGACCTCTGACAAGTTATTATATTCTTTTTTTTTCTGTTTTTTTGTTTTTGTTTTTTTGTTTTTTGTTTTTTATTTTTGAGACAGAGTCTCTCTTGCAAAGGATTCTTTGAGGCCAGGAGTTCTAGGCACCCTGGACAATATAGCAAGACCCCATCTCCACAAAAAGTAAAAATAATAAGCCAAGTATGGTGGCACACACCTGTGGTTCTAGCTGCTCAGGAGGCTGAAATGTGAGGATTGCTTTAGCCCAGGAGTTCAGAGGTTACAGTGAGCTATGATCACACCATTACACTCCAACCTGGAAAACAGAGTGAGATCCTTTCTCAAAACAAAAAAAAAGAAAAAAGCAACTCAATCTCAGGGAAGTTAAGAATCTTGCTCAATGTCACATAGCAATTAGAACTCAAATCCGGTCTGTCTGACCCCAAAGTTAGTTTTCCTAATTGCTGGCTTGTACTACTCTTAAATCATAATATTTAGTGCACTGAAAAAGCACATTAGAAAACATACTTGAATTAGAATCAGGTCCCTGGCACTCGGTCTGGGCCAGGCTCTGTAACTACCTTGTGGTTTGACTTTAGATAAGCCACAGTCCCCACATGAAGAACCACCTCCCCACCTCCCAGCAACCACCATCTTTATTTACAAGGAGCTGGACCAGGTGGTCTCCAAGGTCCTGTCCCGTTCTTCCCTCCCATGATTCCAGGAAGAGCTTCCAGACTTTGAGTGCCATTGGGGCAGTGACCTACCATGTGCTTTATGTCATCACATCTTGCACATTTTTGTGGAAAAAGGGTAGTAGTCTCTTTATCCTCCCCAATCTGTTATTCCAACTCTGGCTGTGTAAATTCAAGGAGGAGAAAAAGCAAAAAGTAGTGGATAGTGGAAATAGTTAAATTGATTTTTGCATACATTTTTGAATTTTCTAATTATCTTTTATAATAAGCATGTGTTTCTTTTATAATCTAAAAAACTCCCATTAAAAAAAATCCAAACATCTCCAGTAACAACGAGTATACCTACCACCCCAGATCTCAGGGTTTGTTTTCATTTGTTTTGTTTTGTTTTGTTTTGAGACAGGGTCTTGCTCTGTCCCCCAGGCTGGTGTGCAGTGGTGTGATCACAGCTCACTATAGCCTTGACCTCCCCAGGCTCAAACAATCCTTTCACCTCAGTCTCCTGAGTAGTGCTCAGATAATTTTTTGATTTTTGTAGAGACGGTCTCGCCATGTCACCCAGGCTGGTCTGGAATTCCTGGGTTCAAGCAATCCTCCAGCCTCAGTCTTCCAGAGTGCTGGAATTACAGGCATGAGCCACTATGCCTGGACCCCAGATCTTGGTTTATAATATCATTCTTTAATGAAAGGAACCAGGGCCCCTTAGCGAAGTGACTCATTCTAGGACTGCAGCAGGAAATATACAAGGTAAGCCTGCAGTATCTTGTAGTGCCAGAAAGTAAGGAAATGTTCAGAAAACCCTACACTGATGGAGATATGTCAGAGAGACATAGGAGTCAACTGAAAGAACTCCGAATAGCCAAAGCTAGAAATTTTTGAGCAATAAAGAAAGTAGTATTGATTTATAACCCAAGTGTAAAATAAATATCCATAGGTCCACGTGGGTATAAATAAATGATAGACTAAATAAATAAATGAAGGACAAGAGGCAATTCTCTTTTGCAGAAGAATTTTTTTTTTTTTTTTTTTTTGGAGACCGAGTCTTGCTCTGTCAGCCAGGCTGGAGTGCAGTGGCGTGATCTTGGCTCACTGCAACCTCTGCCTCCTAGGTTCAAGCAATTCTCCTGCCTCAGCCTCCTGAGCAGCTGGGACTATAGGCATGCACCATCACGCCCAGCTAATTTTTGTATTTTTAGTAGAGATGGGGTTTCGCCATATTGGCCAGGCTGGTCTCGAACTCCTGACCTCATGATCCACCTGCCTCGACCTCCCAAAGTGCTAGGATTACAGGCGTGAGCCACTGCGCCTGGCCAAGAAGAATTTCAAATAATTTATGTGGATATTCTGCCCTCGAGGGTGAGCATAACTCCCCACTTCCTTAGTGTGGGTTGCACAGAATGACTTCCTTCCAAAGAGCACAGTATAGAAAGGGAAAAAAAGAGTAACTTTATGGCCAACACGACCTCAGCCAAGGTGATGAAGGTCAAATCAAAAGTGATAAATCATCTTGTTAGTATGTCCCCGTGATGTGGAATGAAAATGGCACTTTGCCTTTGTGATCTTTCTCCCAAAACCTATAACCTCAGGCTAATTGTGAGAACAATAGACAAATTCCAGAAGAGGGACATCCTTCAATATACCTGACCAGGGCTCCTTAAAACTGTCAAACCAGGAAAGCCTGAGAAACTGTCACAGCCAAGAGGAGCCTAAGGTGACATGATGACTAAATGTAACATGATGTCTTAGAACAAAAAAAGACAATACGTTAAAAACTAGGAAGATCCAAATAAACTATAGACTTTAGGTCATAATAATGTATTAATCTTGCTTTATGAATTGTAACCAGTTTACCATACTAATGTTAAGATGTTGCCGGGCGCGGTGGCTCTCGCCTGTAATCCCAGCACTTTGAGAAGCCGAGGTGGGCAGATCACAAGGTCAGGAGATTGACACCATCCTGGCTAACACAGTGAAACCCTGTCTCTACTAAAAATACAAAAAGTTAGCCAGGCATGGTGGCACGTGCCTATAATCCCAGCTACTCGGGAGGCTGAGGCAGGAGAATCACTTGAACCTGGGAGGTGGAGGTGGAGTGAGCTGAGATCGTGCCACTGCACTCTAGCCTGGGCGACAGAGCAAGACTTCGTCTCAAAAAAAAAAAAAAAATGTTAACAATAGAGAGAATTGGGTAAGGGTATACAAAAGCTACTCTCTCCTCAATTGTTTTTAATATAATTCTAAAACTGTTCTACAAAATAAAGTCTATTTTAAAACAACCACCACCACCCAAAGAGGTCACCACAAGTCAATTCCATGAGAACAGGGCTTATGTTGTTCACCTCTGCATCCCAGGACCTATACAAAAGCCTGACATGACAGCAGTAATATCTGTTGAATGGGGGATAGTTACCTTGCATGGTATAATGGTGATGGGTATATGAAGCGTTTTATATGTTTTGGTTTCTCTGGAAACCCAAACTGGAAACTGAGGCCCACGGAGGTCAAATGACTTGCCCAAGGTCACATAGCCATTAAGTGACATCTAGACGTGTGTTCTCTCCACTGTATCACATGATTCAGATCTCTAGGTCTCTTTCCTCAGCTGCAAAATGAGTACACTATACACCTCTTAAGGGTCTCCAGAGGATAAAATAACTTTCATCAAGTGTCTAGTGGACATTTTAAAATACTGGCCAGTGTGTTTGCTGAGATGCTGCTGCTGCTACCTGTTTTCAACTTCTACTTCTCCTTTTTCTTTTTCTTTTTTTTTTTTTTTTTTTTTTTTTTTGAGACAGAGTCTGGCTCTGTTGCCCAGGCTGGAGTCCCTGGCGCCATCTCGGGCTCACTGCAAGCTCCGCCTCCCGGGTTCACGCCATTCCCGGCCTCAGCCTCCGGAGTAGCTGGGACTACAGGCACCCGCCACCACGCCTGGCTATTTTTTGTATTTTCAGTAGAGATGGGGTTTCACTGTGTTAGCTAGGATGGTCTCGATCTCCTGACCTCGTGATCCGCCCGCCTTGGCCTCCCAAAGTGCTGGGATTACAGGCGTGAGCCACTGCGCCCAGCCCTCTTTCTGCCTTTTCAATCCTCTCTCCTCTTCTGCCATACTCAAGGAACTGCAGAAGATCTGCCTTCTCCTTTCCCTTAAAAATATGCCCATCTCTTTTCTCCTTAATTTCTTTAGCCTGAACACAATGAAACCACTACAGTCATGGTAACTGCTACTTGAGGCCCACAAAGGGAGTGAGACGTGCTGCAGATGTTTTGCTTCCACCACAGGCCTCGTGCGCCCTCTGCCCCCATAGGTTAGGGTGGAAGATGGCAAGGGGCCAAGGGAACAAGTCCCTCTTCCTTCAGAAGGGAAATGCACTGCATTTTGGGGTTGTCTGGAAAGCTCTCCACCTAAACAATGCCTGCCTCCAGAAAACTATAAATTAAAACAAAAACATATCCATATTGGTACAAACAAAGGAAACTAGTGGAAGGAATCTTAAACACTCACCACAGTCCTCCCTTTTCAGACTGTGCCTCTTGGCCAAGCAGGATGGTGCTCAATTGTCCTGGGGAGTGGGTGAGTCAGCTTCATGCTGGGGCAGTCCAGGCAGAGCTGAGGTGAGCCATCCTGGGCTGGCGCTAGTTAGCAAATGTGCTGCCTCCCCCACGCCCTCCGCTGCAGAGCCTCCTACGTCTCCGGCCTTCAGGGGGTCTGAGAGAGAGCAAGAGAAGAGGGAATGCATGAGTAGGAATGCAATAAGCAGCTGAAAATGAGACACTCCATAATAGGAGGAAATTGTTCATGTTCAGAGCAATTTTGTCAAAACTGAACAATTCTCTTTAAATAGCAGGCTTGAGGATGTACAAATAGCACTCATGAAATCAGCTCTGAGTGACTTCAGAGAATTGGCCCTCTCCTAAAGTCTCAATTTGTCTTATCTCTGGGCTCATAAATTTCCATCCCTATTAGAGGACATCCGGTGTAGAGAATGTTAACTATAATGTGTCCCCATAAAAAACTCAGTAAAAATCACTGCTGACTCACCTCTGCTCTTAAGGAGCCCTCAACATTCACTGTTTGCTTTTAGAAAAATAAGTAAGTTGGCTGGGCGCGGTGGCTCATGCCTGTAATCCTAGCACTTTGGGAGGCCGAGGCAGGTGGATCACGAGGTCAGGAGATCGAGAGCATCCTGGCCAACGTGGTGAAACTCCATCTCTACTAAAAAAAAAAAAATGCAAAAAATTAGCCAGGTGTGGTGCCGGGCGCCTGTAGTCCCAGCTACTTGGGAGGCTGAGGCAGGAGAATGGCGTGAACCCAGGAGGCAGAGCTTGCAGTGAGCTGAGATTGCGCCACTGCACTCCAGCCTGGGTGACAGAGCGAGACTCTGTCTCAAAATAAATAAATAAAAATAAAAATAATAAGTTAAAAAGTTGCCTCCAGAGAGGAGTTCTTGTAGCTGTTAACCAGTTGTCTTGGGGCATATGGAACATTTTATTCTTGAAAGAAATCTGAGGTGCAAGCGTCATTCCAAATTCTTCTTGTGCTGGAGACAGAAAGGGTTTATCGGGGCGTTTTTCTTTCACTTCGTGCCTCAAGAGAGCCTGCTCTCCACAAAGCCCCTGGTGGCCACAGACAAGAGTGGGGCCCGTACAGCATTGTTGAGAGCCCTGTGAGCCCAGAGCCACAGGCAAGAGCTGACCCAGCAGGAGAGGTGAGGCCCTCCAAGGCAGTCCTGGATGCCCCACAAGAATAAGAGTGTAGGAAATTGACTTAGGCAACCCTCCATTCATTTCCTCCTTCTCGCCTCAAATTCCGTTTAAACTCATTCTAGTGATTAATGGACCCATCACAGAGCATTTACACAGGAAGTGCACGTGTAAAGACTGGAGTAGTCACTTGGCAACTCTTAAGTGGGATAAGGTATGTTAAAAGAAAAACTTTCAACAAATTAAATTTAACAGAGTTTAATTAAGCAAAGAATGATTTGTGAATTGGACAGGCCCCACAACCAGAGAGGTTCAGAGCAGCTCCAGGGTTGCCACATGGTTGGATCACATTTATGGACAGAACAAAGAAAGTAACATACAGAAAAGGGAAGTGAGGACAGAAAGAGCTGGATTGGTTGCAACTCCACATTTGCCTTATTTGAACACAGTGTGAATGGTTGGCCACCTGTGATTGGCTGAAATGTGGCTGCAGTAATTGCCTGAGACTTGGCTACTTGTTACAAGCGTGGGTCCCAGTCTGTTTACCAATCCAATTAGGTTACAGTTCACTCTGTACAGAGAAACTTTTAGGCCGACTTTAAAATATGTAACAAGGCAGCATTGGATTAAACTTCATTTAACGAGTAGCAGGAGGCGGAGGTTGCAGTGAGCTGAGATCACACCATTGCACTCAAGCCTGGGCGACAGAGAGAGGCTCTGTCTCAAAAAATAAATAAATAAATAAATAATAATTTAATGGGTAGATCTTGAAACAATGGTCAAATACATCATGTGAAGTGAGTCATTTTCAGTATGAAGAATTTGATACAATTTTTGTAAAAACATTCTATGTGTATTTTGCATATATTTGTATGCATAGAGAATGAATTACAAATGGCTTCATCTCAAATTATTTAGTTATTACTTCTAGGAGGTAGGGCTGAGGGTGGGAGGGAGGAGAATGCGGACTCTTATTTTTGAGCTTATACATTTCTAGATGAATTTTTTTTTTTTTGAGATGGAGTCTCACTGTGTTGCCCAGGCTGGAGTACAGTGTCATGATCTCAGTTTACTGCAACCTCCGCCTCCCAGGTTCAAGTGATTCTCCTGCCTCAGCCTCCTGAGTAGCTGAGATTACAGGCGCCCGCCACCATGTCCAGCTAATTTTTTTTTTTTGCATTTTTAGTAGAGATGGGTTTTCACCATGTTGGCCAGGGTGGTCTCAAACTCCTGACCTCAGGTCATCCGCCTGCCTTGGCCTCCCAAGGTGCTGGGATTACAGGCATGAGCCACCGTGCCCAGCCTTAGATGTATTTTTACATCAAGTTCATAATATTGGAAAGAAGGCACTGCAGAGCAGTAGGTGGAAGGACCGCCTTTTCCGTAAGTGGTGCCGAGCTAACTGCATATTCATATGGAAAAAAATTAACCTTGGCCTTACCTCGTCCCATATACAAAAATAAACTGCAGGTGGATTGTAGATCTAAACATTAAAGGCAAAACACAAAAGCTTCTACAACATACTATTTTCTTTTTCTTTTCTTCTTTTTTTTTTTTTAGACGAAGTCTTGCTCTGTTGCCCAGGCAGCCTCGCCCTATGGCCCAGGCTGGAGTGCAGTGGCACGGTCTCAGCTCACTGCAACCTTTGCCTCCTGGGTTCAAGTGATTCTTCTGCCTCAGCCTCCTGAGTGGCTGGGACTACAGGACTACAGGCATGCACCACCATGCCCAGCTATTTTTTTTTTTTTTTTAGTAGAGATGTGGTTTCACCATGTTGGTCAGGCTGGTCTCGAACTCCCGACCTCAGGTGATCCGCCTGCCTCGGTCTCCCAAAGTGCTGGGATTACAAGCATGAGACACCGCACCTGACCTCACAACATACTATTTTTATAACCTTGGGGTCATGGTTACATGGATGTTTATTTTAAAATATTTTGTTAAACTGTAAATTGTTTTATGAACTTTTCTGTATATTGTCTTTTGCCCCCAAAAGAGGGGTTAAAAAAAGAGAAAAAGAGCCTCAAAATCTGTTGAATAGTGGGTGGGAGAGACATGTGTGCAGAGGATCTTGCAAAATCAAATAACTGTTGATTGTCATCATGCCCAAAAGACTGTGACTCACAGGCTTCTTAATGCTTTCTGCTGTGGTCAGGAATACATTTCCTTCACGGAGACCTCACAGGGAAACACAAAACCAAAACAAAACACAGGTAGAAAAGACTTCTCCGATTAACCCTCTTTAAACTTCCAAGCCATTTTTTATGTTGGTAATTCTGAACTTGGTGAGAAGTGGGAGGATGGAGTAAATATAAGGTTGGACTTCATTCTCTCCCCTTTGCAAAAAAGAGGATAGAACTTCAAGAAGCATTGAGGTTCTAACAGACAAGAATGAACAGACAAGGCAACACCTCAGAGCCAGTGGTGTGGGGATGACACCTCCTGCTCGATTTCTCAGCTCTCCCACTGATCTAGAAAAAGGCTCCTCTGAAGCCAAGAAGGAAAAAGACATGATTAATTCAAGCACAAGTGGATCAAGACTAACAGGATCCTTTACTGCCTCTTAGAGGCTTCCTTGATGCCAGCCCTAGAGGCAGAAATCAACCAGGATCACTCAGGAAACAAGATACCTCTCAGTGACCCTGGTGAGGGAAGGCAGAGACCAGCTCCAGGGGCCAGAGGGGACGTCTAGTAAAATCCTGTAAGGGTACAATTGATGGCAGGGACAGGAGTGGGAGGAGATGGGCCCAGATTTTCTTCATTTCCAGTTGACGCTTCCAGAAAACACAGTTCTGGGGGTCTGGACTGTGCTGTGAAATGGAGGAGGAAAAGGAGTTAGTGTGGAAATATTAATACCACTTTAAACCCAGTGATATTCACTCTCTATATAAATAAGCCCAAGTGTCTTTTGCTGAATTATGCAGAACTGGCTAGGTGACTCTTAACAAATTTCAGAGGTACATATGGGATGGTCTAACTTAAAATAGATAGGCTACATGGTATAAATAAAATTTGCTTTGGAGGACCTCAGGGACATCTCAAAGAGAGAGTTTGTTTTTTTCCAGAACAGCTAAAACTGAGGTTCAACTAGAGGCCTCAGATGGAGGCTCGACAGGCCGTATTTACTAAGACTACAGACGAATACTGGTTTTAAATATGAGCACCAGGCAGGGTGCGGTGGCTCATGCCTGTAATCCCAGCACTTTGGGAGGCCAAGGTGGGTGGATCACCTAGGGTCAGGACTTCAAAACCACCCTGGCCAACATGGTGAAACCCCATCTCTACCAAAAATACAAAAATCAGCCAGATGTGGTGGCGGGTGCCTGTAATCCCAGCTACTTGGGAGGCTGAGGCAGGAGAATTCCTTGAACTCAGTGGGTGGAGGTTGCACTGAGCTGAGATCACCCCACTGCACTCCAGCCTGGGTGACAGAGTGAGATTCTGCCTCAAATAAATAAATAAATAAGGGCACCAAATTGCAAGGAACGAGAGCAAGGCCTCCCATTGGCAGCCACTGACCTGACTTCTTGCAATATCACGAGGGCCACTCTGTGCTGCAGGTCCCGGGTGAATACAGCAGGAATTTAGTAATTTAATGATGATCGGTGATTCACCATAGCAACACTGGGTATGAAGGTCTCTAAAATCACCTGTACATTTCACTTTTATTTTTGAAGCATAACCATTGTATTACACCCCTTATACCCATCGTATCCTAACCATATTCCTGGACGAGAAACTGTTAATGGGAATAGAGAATGAGATCCTAAGAGATCCAAGTCCATAGAGCCCACATAAAAGCTGCATCAAAACTCTGGTGGGGACTGAGTGAGCAGCAGGCAGGTGGAAGCATCTCGGGAGATGTCCAAAGGGCCCCAGGTGAGGGCTTCTTCATGTTCCTCAAGCCATGTGATTCGGATACACAGAGCCGAGGCTTTGGATGGGCACTGGGGCAGGGGAGGAAGAAATATTCCTTCCTGAAGTTCTCTCAAGATCTGCCTGTGATCCAAAATCCTTTCTACTTCCTGGGCCTTGACTCATTCCAGAGATTTTTCCCTAATGAAGTGACTGTGTTGTTTCCATTGACAAGACCCCTAAGTCTGCAAAAATCCATGCAAACAACATGTGGGCAAAATTTATGTACAATTTTAGCATTTCTTTTCATACAGGGTCTGTCCCTATTGGACCACCTCACATCATGCCACATAGGACGTGAACAACTGTGTCCTTCTCCACACCTGCATTAATCTCTGGGTCCATTGCCAATTATAAACCTCCAAGGGCAATAGCCATGAGGTGATGTACAGTCATGAATCACTTAATAATCAGGATACATTCTGAGAAATTTGTCGCTAGGCAATTTTGTCATTGCATGAATCTCACAGAGCGTACTTACACTAACCTACATAGT